CCACTAAATTATTATTGTTTGGCTTAAAATTCATATATAATACCTATATTATTTTAGTGATATATCTGTAAAATATAATTGTTGATTTGCCGACCAGGAGAAATAAATTGGTATTTTGCTGCCCTCTTATATTATAAGAAACTAAACGTTTCAAAGGACTCAGGAGTCATATATGTGATCGATTACTATAATTTTTCTTCTTCGTGTTAAACTACAGATAAGTAGGGCAATATTTAAATTTTCAGGTGCCGCCCAAAAGATGGTAACATATCTAAGTCAACTGTCCAGAGTCCAGACAAATGTTTCTTCTATATATACACGAATTTTAATCATATAGTATTATCTTTCATCAGTTAAGATTATGTTTGACCCAAATATAATACCATGCATGAGTAATATATGTTCGCTTATAGTCTCTAATTCTTTGATTCTTTGTAGTCTAAGAAAACAGATGCATTGATTGTAGTACAGTTTTGATTGAATAATAATTTTATATTTTTATTAAAAAAAAAGTATGTTCGCTTAGTTGGTTAGAAATTAGAACACTCATCTTTAAACTAAACAACGTGGGTAGTTTATACGGTTTATGTAACAATTAAAACAAATAGGTTTGCACGATGACATTGACAAGATGAATTTCTGAATAAAAGCATTTAGTAGCGTTTTAAAATGGACACAAAATGGAAAACGCACTAGCTGAAATCGTTTGCAAGTAACCTAAGTACTATGTTTATAAACTATTGCATCTAAATCGATCAAACCATTAAACTATAAAAGACACCCTTAAACCATACGATGTTGTTACAAAAGCAAAGCCACATGTTGTTAATATTCGCTTTTGTTTTTAAATACATAATGTTAGTATAAAAATTAAGAAATTTACGTTTCTGTAAAATAGATTATTAAAGTAATTTAAACAAGAAAATTGTAAAGTTTATATCCATTACATTAGCAATATTTTACAAATAAAGCTCTGGCACAGTTGGTGGTCTCCCGTATGCGTGGGACGCGGCCACATGTATTTCCTTATGCATTTTAGATAAAGTGTGTGTTATAAATTTATAATAGGCTTATCTTGGTTGATAGATATTGGTTCGGTTTAGTAACAGTTCTTAATAGTTTATGCCATATGTTTTAAAAAGTCAAGCTTATAGATTTAGTAAGCAGTTTAATTTTTTATTTTCATTTTCACATCGAATGAAATTATTATGTTGTAACTTAATTGTTATAGTCTGACTTATAATTTTTAGCTATTATCCATCACGTTTAATCAATTTACTAAATTTGAAACTTATGGCAGCACAACTTCTCTTAACGTTTGAAAATTACTTGAATTACTGCAAATTACATATTTTAAAATATTTGTTTGTCAATCCATGAAAATATTGAACACTCTAAAACCGAAACACAAATGGGTAATGTTATGTCAAATGTTAGAAATTCAGCATTTTTTTTGTCATTTTGGTTGTAACCAAGCATATTACATTATGAGAAATATGTTTCGGCTCTTGATACTCTTGATTGGTAGTTATGTGGCGACTACCAAATTATTTACAAAAAAAAAAAATTAGCTAGTTTTTTTTAGATGTTTTTAATGACCATATAAGGAAAATGAAATATCGTTTTAACTATTGGTGATAGATCTAAATCACATCCCAAAAACTAACTTAATAGTGGATAATTTACTATTATGATATATATTAATAGTCTTCTTAAGATGTAGATGGAAAATGATCCATTAAAAAGTAGTTTACACCTGATATTTGGAAGTACTACAGTAAGATGAACCATTTTTACAAATTACATAAAATTACATAGATAAGAAATTGTTTACATATGAAATCATCTGATGGGCTTACCATAAAATCTGATATTTTATTAATAATGCATATAACTCACAACCAAAAATTATCTCAAGAGTGGATGATCGTCATATCAAATATATATTACCTAAGAAAACAAATATGATATCAGAGTTTATGGTAAACAAATCAGATGATTTTCCACATAAATAATTTTTTTATCTATGTAACATGTAAAGGTGGTTCATCTTCGTGTGGTAGTTTCGAAATGTTGGATTTGGACTGTTTCCAAATATATCGTTTTCCACCCACATATTGAGAAAAGCTATTAATTTATTTTACATCGGTGGTGATTAATTTTCTTGGATAATATATATATGGCAATTCTCCACTTTTTAAGTTAATTTTTAGATATGAATTAAGCCCATCATTAAAACTAACTATTACATCTATCTCATGTTGTTAGACTCTTTATTTGTTTTTCTCAAATCTGAAACTTTTATTTTAAAGAACCACTGACAGAGATTATAAAGTTCTTCTAGGTCTTTTCAATCGTGTTAGTAATATCACTGATACAGATAAAAGTCATCACCTACTGGGAGGTCAGGCTTTGCCTCTGTTGGATCCCATATTATGGATATCACCGACTTCCTTCTCTGCCACTACAAGATTTATCTAATATTAAACATTTTTGGATAACTTTCCAGCTTTTATGAATCACACGTTGCAAAAAAAAAAGAAAAAACTGCTGCCATCGATTAAACATAAAACCATATTTATCATAAGCTGCTTTATTGATCAGCTAACTTTCACATAACAAGAGTTGGCATTGTTGAGATTTGTTGGACCAGAGAACCCCACGTACGAGTCTATATATGACTATATATATGACCTTAATAGCTAGCGTGAAGGATTCCAGTGGATGAAAAGAGTGGAAAAGTGAGTGAGTATATGAGTGGCTCATAGTGGAAAGATAGAGAAACATACACGAGCCATGCTTCGATCATGATCGTCTGGTGAATATATTCCAATGTTTTTTTTATTACAGTTACAAAAAATTCTGAAACATATTCTACTGGACTTGATTATAGTAATGAAAAATTCCAAATAAAAGAGAATGTGGACTGAACTTGGCCAAAGACTACTCTCCTCCGTTCAGTTCCATATTCTTCCATATAAAGCTAAGGAAAAAGAGACCCAAAAATAATTAAATTAAAATGTTCATTTGCATTTTCTTGTTCATTTCTTTTTTTCTTCTAAATCAACTATGGTATAGTGCCTTCTTTCTCCATCAGACCATTTTTTGTTTTATTTGGCAACTCGTACATCTCCACTTAAAATATTCCTTTTGGATCAGAATTCGTATGTTAACTATCACATGAGTATACATGTTCAATGTAGATCTCATTTAATAATTTAGATATAAATTTGTTTGTTAATTTCGGAAATATTTTTATAAAGTATATACTAATAACTTTTCTTCGAGCAAGTATATTCTGGTAATTAATGTCAATATATATGCAACTATCTGACCCTCTAACGTATTGGTATGGTATAATAGAATGTTTGTATTTATGTTGCGTTCATACGTCAATCGTCGATCATATATTCTTAAGAAAATAGCTATGATAATTCATGTTCTGTCCTTGATGTGTCTCTTTTTATAGGAGTTATATATTATACTGCTGAATTATTTTGTCATTAGTCTAGTGGTCTAAGCCACACACTCTTACCCCTCACATATAATTTTATGAACAAACGTGAATTAGCCGGTAGTCAATCAACTTCAGTTAATAATTAATAGTAATGATACTGAATTTAAAGCCAATGTCATAAATTAGTCATGCATTTTATCTAGACAAGTCACTTTGATGTACTACCAAACTTATTGAATAAATTTTACAAACTAGAAAAAATATATATAAATAATCTTGAATATTTTTGGTTTGGTTGGTGATTACGATGTCAAAAATGGTCACCACATACAAGATCGTACTTATCTTTCACATGAATAATATTCTTTATACTATACACGACCGTGATATATTCCGACAAATTTACCATGTATTTGTAACATGCCCTCTTGTTGGTATGTTAATTTTTTATATGCTATAAAGAAATATTATACAAAAGCATCTGTGTTACTCACAAGTCGCTATACATAACTCTGTATAGAAATATTATTCGGACGGATTGTGGAAATCCATATGACAATTGGTTTTATTTGTCATGGGGAATGTCAGTGATGTTGGGTTGCTAACTAAGCATAGACTACATGATTCAACTACTGAGTTGGGGTGAACCAAGCCCGGCTCTTCACTCAATGTGCACAACGATTCCTTCCTTGGCTGTTGTCATGATCTTTCTCTTCTTGAAACATAAGTGAATTTGTTTTGTTTTAATACTGTATTTTCCTTAGTTACTGGTTAGTTAAAGGTAGTTTATCACAGTTGATACGCTTGTAAAGACTGAGGATTCTTAAAAAAAATATATATATATATATATATATATATAACCAGTAATTTTTTCGCGTTTAATATGATTTCATCTATAATATAAGAATTTAAAAAAACTATTTATGTCCAAGGTGAATCGATGGTAGTGAAGTGGCCAGATTGTCAAAGTTCATTCATTCGAATGTATTAGACGTATTGTCCACTTTGGATGGCCAAATGTTTTTTTTTCTAACAACAATCATAGCATTAATAAGAGGTTAAGTACATCATGGCCAAATTGTTTACATATCAAAAAATGCCAGGAAGTAACTCAAGAACTATATACTTCAGAAAGCGTTATTCTAGAGCTGGAATCACTGGGGCTCATTCCCGTTCTAGTGTTTTGAAATCAAATATTTCATCTACTTGCTCCTCCGTGGTGCCGAAATTATTCTATGTGTCGACCAAATTAGTTGCTTGAAAATCACCCCAGCTCTATATATAGTTTCACTAAAGAATATTACGAATTTGATATTCTATAAATTTTGATTTTTATGGAAGTATAATATAAAGTAGTTGTTTTATTTAGTTTACTATAAAGTTACAATTATTAATGAATTCAGGTGCAGCATATATCAAAAATAAGACGTACCTTGGAAATACTTTATTATAATATGGATATATTTGAAAAAAAAAACTTTATATATATGCCTATATGGACAACAAAGTTAGTTCTCTATCACCCACTTCAAAAACTTACAAAGATAACAAAAATGAGCATAGAGATGCAAAACCACCAGGTGGAAGCCGCCCCCGCAGAGGAGCCGTTAAATCAGTGGCTGATAAATATGCCGGAGCCACCAACTCTGTGGCAAGAGCTTGTTGGGTATATAAGAACAAATGTGTTGTCCAAGAAAAGGAACAAGACGAAGAAGACAGCATCAAATCCGGTTTACTCGTGTCTTAAATCGGTTTTCCCTATAATTATATGGGGAAGACAATACAAACTCAACATGTTCAAGAAAGATCTGATGGCTGGTCTTACTCTCGCTAGTCTTTGCATTCCTCAGGTAACTGAACTCACATATTTTATTTAACTCACAAATTATAATCGACATATGTCAATGATGATTTCTTCCATACATTCATTTGCAGAGTATAGGATATGCTAATTTGGCTGGACTTGATCCAGAGTATGGTCTATGTAAGTCCAAGATCCTTACTTAGACTTGCATAGTTCCTTATTTATTTATTTAGCAGTAAAGTTAAATTGTATTGAATTTATAGTATATATTTTATTTTTTGCTAAAATATTTATAATATATATATATACCAGATACAAGTGTGGTACCACCTCTAATATATTCCATGATGGGAAGTTCGAGAGAGTTAGCCATTGGTCCTGTGGCTGTAGTTTCACTTCTGCTTTCGTCAATGGTTCGTGACCTTCAAGATCCTATCACCGACCCAATTGCTTACCGGAAAATTGTCTTCACTGTCACGTTTTTCGCTGGCGCGTTTCAAGCCATCTTTGGACTCTTCAGGCAAACATTTCATAAATAATCATTAGAAAATCATATAATTTACACGGTGTTATAATTATTATAATTGTATGTGGACCGATGAAGACAAAATGTCGTCATCTGATCAAAATTTAAATGTTATTATAAATGTATATATCAGGCTAGGGTTTTTGGTGGATTTTCTGTCACATGCTGCCCTTGTTGGGTTCATGGCTGGCGCTGCCATTGTCATTGGTTTACAACAACTGAAAGGTTTATTCGGGTTGTCTCACTTTACCAATAAAACTGATGTGGTTTCGGTCCTATCTTCGGTTTTCCACTCACTTCATCATCCGGTACGTACTGGTTTACCTGGTTTAAATTTAAAGTGATTTTGTTTTGAAAGTACTATTTTATTTAATCATAAAGTCACGAATATTTGAATCTATTTCAATTCTTAATTACTTTTGCAGTGGCAACCTCTGAACTTTGTTATTGGTAGCTCATTTCTTATCTTCATCCTCCTAGCGAGATTTATAGTAAGTGAACAAAAATAATTGTACAATAATAACCATTAGTTACGTTCATATATATAATTTACATTTATCAGTAACTGAACAAAAATAATTCTACATTAATAGTCATTAGTTACGTTCATATAAATTACATTTATCCACATGACAAAACTATTGTATGAATTAATTTCTATTGACTTTTATAAATTTACTCAGGGGAAAAGGAACAAAAAGTTGTTCTGGATTCCAGCGATGGCACCGCTAATATCAGTGATATTGGCAACCCTAATCGTGTATTTAACCAATGCTGAAACGCGAGGGGTTAAGATTGTTAAACACATTAAACCAGGGTTTAACCGACCTTCGGTTGACCAATTGCAATTTAACGGTCAACATCTCGGTCAAGTCGCCAAAATTGGTATCATTTGTGCAATCATCGCTCTCACGGTTAGTGACATTCCCATCTCTTCTCTCTCTACATATAGTTCAACATAATCACCTAATTAATCAACTAATTAAATTTAATAATACAGGAAGCAATTGCAGTAGGGAGATCTTTTGCAACGATCAAAGGATATCGTCTAGATGGTAACAAAGAGATGATGGCAATGGGGTTTAGCAACATCGCTGGCTCTTTAACTTCTTGCTATGTAGCTACCGGTAAAATGCTCTTTTTAAAATAACTCCGGTTTATTAATTTAAACCAAAACCGGAATTGACCGGTATGATATTTTAAAACAGCCGAATCAAGAATTTTCAACTCAAATTAACCATATCGGTTCATATATTTATTTTTTCACTCCCATGTGGACTTTCTAATAGGATCATTTTCAAGAACGGCGGTGAATTTTAGTGCTGGCTGCGAGACGGTGGTGTCAAACATTGTAATGGCCATAACAGTGATGGTTTCACTTGAAGTTTTGACAAGGATTCTTTATTTTACACCTACCGCAATACTTGCCTCCATCATTCTCTCGGCGCTTCCTGGCCTTATCGATATCTCTGGCGCTTTGCACATTTGGAAACTTGATAAGCTTGATTTTCTCGTACTCTTGGCTGCCTTCTTAGGTGTCTTGTTTGCCTCCGTAGAGATCGGTCTTCTCCTCGCGGTGAGTCTTTCTCCTTAAGCTACTCGATTCTTATTTGGCCCACCAAAACCTTATCCGGGAAAATCAATATGTTTATGAGTTATATTTAACCTACACGCATCTACAAATTAAAATGTTGTTATTCAGATTGATTGATTGTGGTCGGGTCAACTATAAACTCCATATCTAATCATGTGAAATATATGACCAAAACCGTCAACATCTCATATAGCATTTAACTAATTAATTAGTAAGAAATGAAGCTACTAGGCCGACCAAGTTTGTTGTGCATTAATGCATAGACCCTGAATGACAAAACATCAATAATGTTAACGTTTCGGTCAGTGGTAATATTTAGTACATTTAATTCCAAATTTTAAGTCAAGTTGTAGATGAACAGGACAAAATACATTTGACAATTTACATAAATTCTCATAATTGAGTTATTGCAAAATCATTGATATATTGTATGGATACGTCTTTTTATGCATGCTTGTGACTAACCCTACACTTCTAATACTCCACTTAATCAGTTGTTTGTCCAGTTCTAATATATATATTTGATTCGTACAAACATAAATTTATATTTGATTATTTGGATATATGCAGGTAGGGATATCGTTTACGAGAATAATTTTGAGTTCTATCCGACCAACAGTTGAGGCTTTAGGCAGATTGTCAAAAACAGATATCTTTGGTGACATAAATCAGTACCCAATGGCTACTAAGACCCAAGGATTATTGACTCTTCGAATCAGCTCTCCATTGTTGTGCTTTGCAAATGCTAATTTTATTAGAGACCGGTTAGTTTATATTTCACTTATCAACTAATTATTTTCTCATTTTCTTATTAAACTCTCATTTATTACTCTTCTGAATCTTTATAGTTTGATGGTATATATATTTTCTTTTCTTTCTTAAATTCAGAATATTGGATTCAGTTCGAAAGGTAGAAGAAGAGGAAGACGATGAACAAGAAGTAAAAAGGGCAAAAGTTCTTCAAGTAGTAATTATCGACATGTCTTGTAAGTTAATGGTACCACTAACTAAATAACTAACACTATAGACTTTTTCATATACTGTAAGTTAATGAAATTAAAGTTACATGTGAGTAACACAATATCAAAATTTCTGATTATTTTCTTTGCCTCTTAAAATAATTGTGAAGGCGTGATGGGCTTAGATACATCAGGAATCGTCGCACTTGAAGAGTTACATCAAGAGCTGGCTTCTAATGACATCCGGGTATATTTTGATAATTATCCATATGTAATAAATAACATATAATTTTTGTTCAAAATAAAAATTGTAACATATAAATGCGCATATGTTATTTTTCACTATATATGCGGGTGTTGTTGGTTATTCAACTTATATATATTTTTTTGGGTGTGCAGTTAGTGATCGCTAGTCCGAGATGGAGGGTACTTCACAAACTGAAGCAAGCAAAATTGGATGAGAAAATGAAAAAAGAAAGTATATATATGACAGTAGGAGATGCCGTAGATGTTTACGTAAGAGCAAGAACTATGTCGCACGATATGTGTTGATATATGGGCACACGTATGTTTAGACAGCGTTTATTAAAAGTCATATAGCCATTGAATAAAAACCGAATATTGGACCGTTACATATAGATATATATATATATATATCTCCGAGGCCTCCGTATGCATGGGAGGGTAGCCTTTACGACGAGAATCTTATAGTTGAATTTACTATTGTGTTTCTCTAATTATTGACAGAATAAATGATATATTGTCCCAAAAATGAATAATCTTCTTTGGTTTCTAAAACCGGTTTATATGCTGTCATTTACTGGTAAACTAAAATGGGCAACGGGATCGAAACAATGATTTTGTGCATGGTTGTGTATACCAGAGTTAGACCGATCAATACACATTTCGATTTCTAATTTTCCATGGCAAAATAAAATAAGATCATTCTTAAATCGTTCAAAGAACAAAGCCCTTCAATATCTCCCATAGATTTCTAAACAAATCTCTTTCTTATACCTAACCTCTCCTTCTTTCATGCTTCTCTTTCTTCTCTCGTCCATACATTTTCAATACATATACAATTTTTTTTTGCTTCCCGTGATCATATTATCGTTTAACTTGTTTGTTGCTTTGATCGGACTATAGAGACATGGGACGGGTGAAACTAGAGATAAAGCGCATAGAGAATAACACGAATCGCCAAGTTACGTTCTCCAAACGACGAAATGGTTTGATAAAGAAAGCTTATGAATTGTCTATTCTATGTGACATTGATATTGCTCTCCTCATGTTTTCTCCTTCTGATCGTCTTAGCCTCTTTTCCGGCAAAACGAGGTATTTTGTGTACATTTCGTTTGGTCACTTCTACCAACAAATATTATATATTTAAGAAAACATTCATTTGATTGGTATATATTGTTTAAACGTTGGTTAGGGTTGAAGACGTTTTCACAAGATTTATCAATCTTCCTGACCAAGAACGAGAGACGTAAGCTGATCAATCTCCTTTGATTGTTTCCTATATGTTTTCTTTCTCATATTTATTTTCCATTTTGCATCTGTATTAATTGGTTTGTTTAATTAGTGTCCTATATAATTTTTTTTTTTAATTAATTTTTCTTTGGTTTTATTTCAGTGCTCTAACATTCACCGATCAGAGCCGACGCCCGTGCGTAGTAACTTACTCCTATTGTTCCTCTTATTTCTTCATATAATAATATGTTGTTATAATCTAATTGGAGCCTTCCTGTTTTCCACGGTTTTATTTGCAGAGATCTCCAGAGCAAAGAGGTAATTAAACTAATCATAATATGTGTAAAAAATTACTTTTTAAACCAAGAGAGTGATTGTGACAAAAAAAGACTAAGAGAGTGAAGAATAAATAGTTTCTTATGAATAAACTATCTCATCTTAACATTTTTACCAACAAAAAAAACTATCTCATTTACCAATTATGGGGTTGAAATTTGAAATGTACGTACAATGTAGGAAATAATATTAAATATATAATTAGTGAGATTATATATTTAATATTACTAAAGTGAAATAACCATTTCATGTGGCAGTATCTACTTCGGACTTTGCAGCAACTCAAGACTGAGAATGATATTGCTCTTCAACTCACCAAGTCTCAACTCCTTCCTCTTTTTCTGTTGCTTTAATATAATACATATTTTTATTTAATACATCATTTTTAAGAATATGGAAGTTGAATTTGTTTTTTGTTTTCTTCTTTTTCTTATCGGATGATTTGAGAAGCCCTTCAGCTATCAACTCCGACATCCAGGTGATTCTTTTAATCTTTTCCTTTAACGTAATGAAGCTAAATTTACTATGTAATTTGTATTCAACTAATCATCAAGGATTGATCTAACTTTTGTATTTTCCAATCAAATATTTTAAGGAGCTTGAGCAAGAAGTTTATAGACTACAACAGCAACTGCATATGGCAGAGGAAGAACTAAGGTCCTTCTTCTTGCTTTTATAACTAAAAAAGGGTTTGATATAATACATGAAAATGTATCTAAAATTTACAGTGACGACTTCTGTTACATTCAAATATATTAGGAAGTACGAACCAGATCCAACCAGATTTACAGCAATGGAAGAGTACGAAACCTGTGAGAAGCAGCTCGTTGATACCTTAACACATGTGACTCAACGACGGGTTAATAGCTTAATTAAACACCTCTTAATATTTCTCGTGATAACGATATGCTCTAAAACATTCAATCATTTCTCTCTATGCAGGAACATATATTGAGTGACCAGTTATCTTACGAAACATCAGCTATGCAAATGCAACACCAAAACATGGGTGGACCTTTCGTAAATGACGTTGCTGGAGGCTGGCTGGCTGAAAATGGGCCTAGTCAAGCCCAATTATTCGACGCATCGGCCAATTCAGCGATTTATGAAACGTTGTTGCAAGGAAGTAGCTCAAGCTCAAACCAAAACAACAACATGAGTGAATGTAACGTGACAAATCATAATGGTGACATGTTCCAAGAATGGACCCAAGCTTATAATTCTACAACAGGTCTCAATCCACCGGCCTTGTTTCCCCCTATGCAGCAGCATCAGGTTTTTCTAATGATTTTTTTTTCTTCTCATTTTGACTCGATCAAGATTTATTTCAGTATCAAGTTGAAAGAAAAAAATTATTTCAGTATCCAAATAAAAAAAATATTTGTATTTTTTGTTGTGAACTGATATGCCAGCTTGGAGTGGTGGATCCTAATATAAAGGAAAGTGAAATACCGGTTATGACGAGGGAGGCACAAGCAGACCACGAAGTATCCGACTATGATATCAGAATGCCGCAACTCAGTAGCCAATAATCTCGAAGCGATATCAACTTACCAATATGTTTATATATTTATACAGTTTTATAATAAGATACTTTGCTTTGCCCAGGAAGCCAGGACCAAAAATTTGTTTTATTGCATTTGTACATAAATATTTTATAATATAACAGTTCAATTGTATTTGTTAATTAGTATTTACATAGAATCGTAACTTTTTTCTCACATTTGTATATATATATATATATTACCGTCGCCATGATTTGATAATGAAGTTCACCTTCATGCACTACTCTCAGACTTGATTCTGTCAGCAAACAAAGAAGGTGTATTAGCTGCATTGTTGCTTAGCTTCTCTTATCTGGTGTTCACTTTTATATATCAAATGGTCTCTCATGGAAAAAATGTTACAGTAGAACATCTATAAGTTAATATTCAATAAATTAATATACATTAAATATATTTATAAATTAATATAATTTTATAGTTACAAATTGAGTTTTTGCTTCAGTTAGTATATCTATAAATTAATATCTCTCTGAATTAATAAAAACTAAAATCTGGGTGTAATCCCAACATTATTAATTTATAGAGATTTTGGTGAATATTGAATAATCTTCCTCGCGTTGGATGTACTAGGCGAGGCCCATTAAAAATTTATCGAGGCTAAAGAAATTATAAAACACTTGGAGTTTGTTCGTGAGATGTAAAAAAAACAATTTTTATCTCCACATTTTTCTTTTCCTTGCATATAGGCATATATCTCACACTTTAAGAAAAATCTTGACTTCTCTTTGGAAGATAAAGAAACAATGTATTTCACTTGACCCAAAACAATAACAATGTTAAGTCCACAAGTAGTTATTATTTCTGTTTTATTGCACTCCTTATTTAAGTCTACAAATGATAATTATATTTTCATTTTCAAAAAATAAAATAAAAAAATCTTGACTTCCTTTGGAAGATAAAGAAACAATGTATTTCACTTGACCCAAAACAACAACAACAATGTTAAGTCCACAAGTAGTTATTAATTTATGTTTTATTGCACTCCTTATTTAAGTCTACAAATGATAATTATATTTTCATTTTCACATATTTGATTGGTATGTAACACTATTATTTACTGGCATTATACATGTTTCGATTGCCCAAAAAATATAGTGTAACGAGCCATATTCTCCACAACAAAATTTATTTTAACGAATGCTTACAATAATTTTTATGTGGTGTGTAGATATATAAAAAGAACAATGAATAAAAATTAATAAAATATAAACTAGGATGTAAATGAATATTATTAGTTTGTGATTTAGTCAACATTTTATGTTTGTGGTTCTAAAATTATTTGTTTATGTTTATTCAGTTCTGATGTTTTCTTTAAAATAAATAATTAGATATATTAGCGGTATAATTATAAAAAAATGTATGCCATATCAGCGTTATATGCTTTTAGATTTTTTTCTTCTTTTAATTTTATTATATAAGGAGAATCGTTCTCTTAATCAGGACAATTGTTAACCATGTCTTTTCGAGGCGATAGAATCGAGGATGAACCGTTTCTATGGAGTCCGGAATATGTTTTCGAGTCGCCGGAACCATGTCTTCCATTAAGGGTATACTTATTCTTTGTCTCTTATGGATTTCTTATATCATTCATTGTGATTTATGATAAAACTGTTGGATATAAGTGATATACATGATAGCCTGCAAAATTTATTTGAACTGCAAACAAAAAACTTATGAAGTCTATTATATTGTATTAGACTGGATTGATCCATGTCTTTACAATAAATAAAACTACCCCTTAGTGTTCCTTCAACATTCAGATCTAGTCCCAAATCTGAACACCACAAAATCCACTTGAATTGGTCACTACTACACTTTGACATAGCCCACGATATCTGATTCATCTTTTGGGTTTGTTATGTTAGCAACCACAAAATCACCAACACCAAGCCCGTCATCAACAACTTGGCATTTCGCACGAGTCTTGGTTACGAGGAAATCTATTAAATGTGCGTTCAAGGGCACAACAATGTTTCTTCAGTCAACCCATGCTAAGTTCTTTCCAAGATCCGAGCTTTTTAACAATGGTACAAATTTACATTCTCTAGAAGCTAGTCTAATTTTTAACTATATTTTATTTTTAAGTTTTTTTTTTTTGGTGGGGTTGAAAATGTTTCAGAACCAGATAGGGATGGGTCAACGAATCGGACAAGGAAATGGAGTTGCACGTCCAACTATGTCTTATTCTCATGAGTTTCCAAATCATCTTCAAGAGTAAGTTGTAAATGATTAAAGAAAAATTGAATTTCTTATCATGTAATATAATAATTAAAAATTTAATTGATGCAGGGTACAACATGTAAGTTCCGATGCATTTGGTTCACTGTTTCCTCAACATTTCCATCGTTTCTCTGATGATAACCTTCCAGTTATCACCACAAACATAACAGCAACTTCTCTGAACAGAGTAGGTCACATTAATTGTATTTTATTTTATTCGGTTAAGAACAACTTTTTGATTTAGCTATCGTTAGACCAACATAAATGTCTTAAAATTAATATTCTAATTAACTAAATTCATTGGTTAGATTCATCTGCGGCAGCAACAACATTGTCTTTGTGCTCATACTCTTTCAACTAGGTACGTTATGAAATATAACTCCATGCTAATTTAACATATACACTTACTAATTGTCTTCCATTTGAATGGTTTAGGGAGCCTCTGTTAAACAACCAATATCATAATCATTATGATTTGAATCAAACTATGGCGGTGACAGAGCATTCAAGTCACATATGCCCGAGCAATCTCATTCCAAATGGGTACTAACACTCAAATGCAATATTTGGTATCTTTATTATATTGAGTTACATACTTCATAAAACGTTGTTTCTTTGGAACGTAGGCCACAAAGTTATATGCCTTATCAGACGTATGTCCCAATCACTTCGGCTTTTACCATAAATGGACAGCAACTGCCCCCATCAGTTTTAGTCATGCGGCGTAATGGAGCAAACAGTCTAAGGGCGGTTAACAATTCAGCTAGGTAAGATCATCTCTCTTTGCCATATATCATTAGTATTAATTTTATAAAATAGTTTTACAGAAAGTATTCGATATATGATCACACTGTTTTCAATTTTTTTTTTTTTATATTGCAATATTGTAGGATAAAAATCAACTAACTTACGGCAACTAAAGTTAAATATCCAAAGCTTTTTCAATCTAGGTATACATGGTTTAGTGACAGAGTGATTTAGTAGAGGATATATATCATTCACTTGTTAAATATATTGGCTTTGTGCTGGTCTACAAAATCACGCTATTGTGATTCATACATATTTAATGATGTTCTACAACGTAACAACTCATTCATACCCAGACCTCAAATATGTCTTAAGAGTTCTGAACTATACAAGAACTATGTCTAGTCGTGAACTATGTTCCTAACTCCAAATTTATCTTTTGGACCTCATTTTTATAGGCATCATGTCATTATGCAAACAAGGGTGCATCAGTCTTCGTCAAGCTTTCAGGTTTCCAGCTTATCCACTCAGCTGCGTAGACGTCCAAGCGCAAACTCAAGCATACCTCCACAGGTTCCATTTCTTTCATGCAATTAATTAAGTTATTAAATTTTCTATTAACGTTTTAGCTTACCATGTCACTGGAATGATACTACATGTTAACAACTAATTATCCCCAACTATAAAAAAAAACAAATCGAGGCCAAATCAACTAGACCATCGTCAGATTATCTTTTACTGATGTTATGAATTTTCAGAATGAAGTTTTGGGATCCCGGAGAAGAACTTATGAAAGTCGGTCTCAATTTGGAGAACCATCATCTACTACTCGACGCAGGGTAAGTTTTTGACAAACACATAAATTTATTTTTTTGGGTCAACAATATTTTTGAATATAGCAATTGAAAAAAATAAATAAATATATATATATATATATATAGCAATTAATGAAATAGTATGATAACAATTTGGCTAAATAATGCAGATGACAATACCAGCAGATGAAAGTGTTGATTCAACTCCAATCAATCCTGCTGAACAAAGGTTTTTTTCCCATTGACTATCCTCACCTTTTTCAATTAGTTTTTTCATATATTTTTTTATCGAAGTTTTCTCATATATAAAGATCTTTTCTTTTCTACAGACGTGTGAGTCTTTCGTTCTGAACTAATTAAGTTAGCCATATATGTTTATCCACAAACAATTTATTCTTAGAAACATATATAACAAGTATATCTTCTTTCAGGAGGGAATATGGACCGTATGATCCAGAATACGAAAGACAAGGTCTATATCTTGACCCTCACATGAGAAAATTCAATCAAAGGCAATTTCTTTTTATCTATTACTGATTAATTTATGAGATTTAGTTGATCAATTGATTAATTATGAAATTTAGTTGATTTTTTAGCACATTACTTTAATTTTTGGCAATAATTTATATCCACATTTTATTGATTCATGATTTGTTCTTTTTAATCTACAGGCTCTATTCTCAAACCTTGAACGAGTGAAAGGAATCTATAGGTCATTGATCTATCCTCAAACTTTGAATAAGTGAAATGTTTTTATGCTTAATTGTGTGTTGTCATGGTCCCTTCTTTTCTTGCTCTCTATGGTCTTTCGTTTTCTCTTGTGGCAGCGTCAAGTGTGCTTGTTGTTTTAAAGGTTGATGTCAGTTTACATTCTGCTATTATTGTAACCTTAATTTACAATCGTTAAACCGTGGTTTGTTTTTCTTTTTAAAGTTTTTGCTCCCATCATTTTCTGATCACATCTCTGAGCTAATGTGGTATCATAGCTTCATAGGCCATATCAGATAGTATTATTACTTATTTTCACTCTAGTCGTCATTCATTCATTGTTTCACTCTAGCTAATCATGTTCTCATTATGATTTAGTCTGTCAAGTGTTAATTTCATTTGCTATGATATTAACTGGTTGGGGAAGAAAAAAAACGTAGTGATTATGGTTCTAAATTTCCAAAACTTTATTAAACAATAGATGATATTTTTTTTTTTTTGCTAACCAACAATAGATGATATTTTCAAAACTTTATCAAACAATAGTTCGTAGTTTGAAAGATAAAAGCCGTAGGACTTACACAATACACACATCGCTTATTTTGTCAACAAGATGCATTTTTGTGATTCACCCAATATCACTTTGGAGCTTGCGTATGATCTGAACTGCATCCTTGCAACAGTAGATCATAGCTGGTGGACCAAAAAGAAACATATTCTAAATTATATATACACATAATTAAAGATAATTAAATATAGAAACAAATCAGGCTGAACTAGGAAGACCTTAACTGATGGGCTGATTTAACTATTATATGGGCCTTTTTTGGATCCAGCCTCAGGACCCCAGCCTTCGATGACGTTGTTTAGATTGATATTTTCCATGCTTTGTTGGGTACTTGGTGCTTCGCAGGATCTGCTCAACAAATGTTCCTGTGATTATAAATTATATACTCAACATTCATATATCCTCTTCCAGTGTTATCAAAATAAGGGAGGTGTAGTTATGTGTTACCCTTCTCTGAACAACACGTTTCAGAGTCTTCAGTAGATGAGCTTCACATGCTTCCATCTCCTCCATTGATGTAAATCTCACTGGATCGGGTTCAAATTTCCTAGGCAGTAGGCATGATTACAAGAATCACAGTCTTTAAGCAACTTTGATAGTTTTATTTTGTAAAATTAATAAAAAATAATAATGTGACATATTTAAGGAAAATACCTCAGCTCTTCCTCAGAAATCTGAAGCTGTTGTTGTAATCTACAAACCTCTTGCTCAAGTTCCTGAAAATTTGTAAATATAATTAGGTAATGTTGTTATAGTGATTTATGTTTTATAAACCGTGAAAAATTGGAAAAATTAATAACCTCAATATCGGAGTGGATAGCTGGGCTTTTTACAGATTCATCAAATAAAAGGTCAGTGTGCAACATATAATGATAGTTACTACATATATATTTATCTCTGTATCATATAATAATAAGATACAGAACTTCAGTATAGAGGACAAATAGAAAGCAACCGAGGCTCGTTGATTTGGAAGGCCATGTCGTTCTCGGTTTTGAGTTGTTCAAGAGTCCTTAACAAATACTGTCACAAAAATAAAATGCTGATAAACATTTATATGTAAAGTAAGTATTGAGATTTGAAATTTGATTGTTCTACTTAGAAAAATAACTCAATAAACTGATATTGTTTTGATTAATCTCACATGTTTGTTTTGGATAGCTCTGCAAAACAAATAGATTTTTTTTTATTAGTAATAGATTTCTATGAAGTTAAGTATACATATATTATATTAAACTGAAATCAACTCACTGGCGTTTGCTTTGATCAGGGAAAACTACAGCACTGAAATATATAAGTATATACCCCCAAAATTATTAAAAATGTGAATATGAATTAGAAACCAATCAAGACTAATGACATAAATGTATTTGTGATAGATCATACATACTTCTCTCTTTCTTGATCAGGGAGATTGATGTACCTTGCAAGAACGTCTTCAATCCTGAAAATTTAACTCTAAATCAAGATAATGGAAATAAAACACCATGTATGGTGAATTCACACATAATTTTATAGATGCTTTGTACTAATAATGAACTTTTGAAGACAAAGCATGAATAAGTTTCAAGGTAAATGATGAGACGAGTAGAGGAGAGAAAGACACCCGTAAGGTAACATGTATCAGTCGGTTTTATGTTTATCATAATATTCTTATTTACCATTAGTATAGTAAATTGATTTAACATGATAGTTGCTTTGGTGGCATCTCCATGCGTCATTGCATGCATTACCGGTCCATGGATGTCAGCAAAACATGACGTGTTTATTATCTAGAGTGTTATGTTCACCTATATTGTATTTTATAGTTTTAGTCATAATAAATTTATGTGAAACTGTTGTAAAAGAAGTGGTCTAAGAGGATATATTTTTAAAAGTTAATTGTTTTGAGATTTTTTTTCAAAAAAGTCATTGACACTTGTGTAATGTTATTTCTAAAATTTAAATTTAAATATAGAACTGAATTGTTATATTATTAATATTGGTTTTGTTTGAGAATTCTTCTAAGGTTTTAAGCAATGAAAGTGTTCATAAATATTGATATTGGTCTAGTGCTAGTCTACAAGAGGGACTAACACTTAATATTTGGTGTGCTTTCTGTTCATAAAAAGTGTAGAGATTTCAGTGTTTCTCTTATATTTTGTTAACTTCATTTTAATTTAAACTGACGTAAATCAACAAAATAACAACTTATAATATATTTTCAAGAGGATCCCTCTTAAAAAAGGTGTTTACACAAACACATGTATGTTGACGGAAAAGTTAAACTATAAATATATGAGTTTAATACAAGGAAAAAAGAACACTGATAATATATAACAGATTTTTTTCTGTATAATATGCATAATATTGTATAGTTTCAACCTCAAAAACCGTCTCCTTAAATTGTATTCGATACAAAACTAATATTATTTCTATTCCAATAAAAAAATATAATGAATCTTTTCAAGTGTTATTTAGTATTTTGATCGTTATAAATGTGAGTATATTTTACTACTTTCCAAGTTTGTTTGATTGATGCATGTTTGCTATACAGATTAATATCCGACAAAATGATACCAAAGAACGTATCGCTTACAAAAAAAAAAAAAAAACGTATTGCTTACCAAAAACCGTGTCAACGTGCACTAGCACCTCTAAGAGCATCTCCAAAAAGACTCTCTATTATAGAGTTTACAAAACTCTATGTTTGAAATTTGAAAGTGTTATAGTCCAAAAGCAAAACTTCAAACTTTTTTTTTTTTTTCACTGATAAGGTTTTTCATTAAAAATAGAAGGGGACTAAACCCAACATCATAAAACGGGCCGAAGCCCAAACAACTAAAACACTACAGGCCCAACACTAAGGGCGAAACCAACCCAAACTACACGGACCTAACCACGCGGACCGGCTTCACTTTTCTGGCCCACGCGTCAAGGAGACTGGACACGTGGAAAATCTTATCCTCAGCTCGACACGCGTCACCTAGGTCTCGACTTGACCGTCGCCGACTCGGAACACCGCCGGAGCACCACCATCACCTCAAATCACCAAACCTCACCGGAGCTCCAAAGCTCCGTCTCACTTCGCCGCAAAACGCTCGGGGCTCCAATGTCGGAGAGATTCAATCGCCGTGACGAGATCTCATCCGTCGTCTTTCACCCACTACAAAAAAAAGGAGCTATTGTTACGATTTTTTTAGACTAAAAATTTTAGTCACATTTTTGTGACATAACTGACACTAATTCATTACTAAAATTTTATGTCACAAAATTGTAGCTTTTCTGTCACAATATTGTGACCGGTTTTATCGTAGCCAAATTTTGTCACATTTAGTAACACAAATATGACGAAAATAAACGAGACAAGAGATGTGACATAATTGTGACTATGTTTATTGTTACTATAATAATAAATATGTGAAATCATATATATATATATATATATATCTATTTATGACGACTGAACAACTACATTTTCGAGAGGAATTCATACAGAAAGATTAAAAACAAACAAAAATGTCGTGAATTGTGGCTTAACAACATAACAAATATGTTGCAATTATAACTTAATGTTCACATTCCAATTTTATGAAATAACGCTTCCAAGTGGAAAATACACAATATAATTGTTATGCTTTGAATCTTAGAAAACTTAATATTTCCTATATCAATATTTTCTTTATCGTCAAAATACGTCTTTTTATCATCTTAATAATTATTGGGTTGTGTTTTTAAAGAAAATCTTATGAAATAGTGCACCTCTATATGATTGTCTTTTATTATAAAAATATGTTGAAAAGAGAAACTTTATTTATTATATATAGTGGACACTAAATGTTATTATACAACCATGTAGAAACGACTCATAATTTAGACACAGAGTATGTGTATACAACTTAACCAATCATTTTCTAAGGAACCCATGCAATTTCCTACAAAAACTTGAAAAAATGTTTTAAGGGTTTCATTATGGGTTTCAATCTCTCATAACTTATATATTATGAAAATGTAGTATTTCAAACGTACTTTAATAAATACTTTTGGGAATTTTTTCAAGTGTCGGTAAATATTCCACAAACCTTAAAACTTATAATTAAAATTTAATCATAAATAATCTATTTTTATTCCCAATTTACAGCTAAAGCTTAAAATCTATATTACAAAACCAAAAAATATGTATTTTTTATTAAACAATTTTTCTTAAAAAAATACAGACAGTCTCTATAATATTATTTGAGAAGCCAGTTTCCTACGTGTCGCGCTAACGTTAACTCTCGCGATGGTTGATTACATAGTTACCCTTAATGAATTGTTAGATTTTAAGATTATTATTAATTTTTTTTTTAATTAATTTCCTTTTTATCGTTTTCCAAATAAAATATTAAAACAAATATAAAAACGAAAATATATGCATATAATATGACTTTATTAATAAGGAAAGTTCACAAAATAGTAATACCCACATTAATATATATTTTTAAATAACATAAAATATATTTTTAAAATAATAAAAATATATCTGTTCATGAGCATTCAAAATTTTATCAGTTACACTTTATTTTCTAATATATTTTAGAAATCAACATATAATTTGATAAATATTATGAAAATACATGTATATTTAAGCGATATATAAAACTAATTTGACTTAACTAAAATAAAGAGTAAATAAACATTATGAAAATGCATGTATATTTAAGCGATAAATAAAAATAATTTGATTTGACTTAACTAAAATAAAAAGTAATTATACTTCGGTTTTAATTTAAAATATATTTAACTCAATATATTCACAAAAAGAATGACTCGACTAATCTAATTTATATCCAAAATTAAACATCTAACTACAGTAAGAACATATAATTTTATAATAATAATAATAATAATAATAATAATAATAATAACAATAATAATAATAATAATAACAATAATAATAATCTATTTAATTTTATACACATAAATTAGAGGTTGACTCAAAGCATATTAAAAATAAAAATAAAATATTAACCAATTACAATTTAATTCTTTTGTAGAATTTATATATATGCATGAGACTTCAAAATATTATCATTATATTCATTTATGTAATTTTGAATCAAACACTTCAACTTATTATTTATTTCATTTTAAGCACAATATATATTAAGTTATACTTAATTTAACTATAGTATATTTACATATCTAAGAATATATTTACATATCTAATACAACACCAACGGAAATGAAAATAAGAAATTAATCAAAGTTTTATTATATTTAGAATTAAAATATTATAGCTGAATTCGAAAAATAGATATTATCCAATATACTAAATTGATAACCATACCGACTATTGATCCAAAAAAAAATAAATTAAACAAACAATAATATATCCAAAGTCATATGTATAGAATAATATAATATTTATTAATATAAATTATACATACAAATTTATTCAAAACTAAAACTAAATATCAATCAATTATTATAAAGTTTTACTTTTATGAATATTCATACCCGTGCATGAGCTCGGGAAATCACCTAGTAGGTTATTAAATGTTAGGTACTAAACAAATAAAAAGTAAATAAAAAAACTGAAATTTAGGAAATTTAATTAACATATGAGATTTTATTCCTTTTTTTTGGTACACAAGATTTTATTCCCTTTTCTTTTATTTTTACTCTCTCTTAGGATCTCGAAGCCATTTTCCCTCATCTGTTCTTTTTTTAAATAAGTTTTGTCTCTTCAATTCTTCTTCTTTACACACCTCTTAGTTTTTGTTCTTCTACCTTTTTAGTCCCTGGTTGCTTGACTAACACTCTCTGATATCCTTCCACTCCTGTTTAGTTCGTGAGAATCCAATGAATACATTATACATCCACTCCTTTCACGTGGTTCACATTCTTTTTACTTTTTAGTCTTACCCTTCTCTGCATCTCTTCATCTTATGGCTCATCTGTGTAGTTTTACAATTTTTTCTGTTGAGTTGATTTAAGAAGCGAGATGAATCTGTTTAAATTTTCAATTATTTTACAAAATAGTTTTTATATCTCTGTAGTTTGTTTGACAAATGTTGGTGTAGTTGTGTAGATTTAAGAAGGGATAGGAGCAGGAGGACATAAAAGAAGAGGGAGAAGAAGAGAAGGAAGGAGAAGAGGAGAAGTAAGAAGAACATGATGGCATGGACACAAAGCCATGAACTCGTGTGTGGAGTAGAGGCGGCTGAGAAGATGACGGGATGAGCAATTAGGTTTAGGTTTTTTGGTTTATCTTTTTTTTTTTTTTTAGTTTGGTTTGGTTTAGTTTATCAATCAATGTTAATTTGTAAGTTGGTTTTCATATATGAACCAAATTTTATTTTATATGTACCGAATTTATAGATTTAACTTAGCTGTAATTTTAAGATATTATTTTGATAAAATATTATATTTTAATAATTCAATCTATCAATTTGTATTAAAATAATAATTAAATTGGTGGATTCGTTACAATTATAATTAATTATATCTATATTTCTTTTTTTATTATATTTTATTATAATTGATTTGTTACAAAAAATAACATTATTGCAACAGTATTATAGTTACAAATTAATACAGATTGAGACAATTTTATAAGTAACAAATTGTAACAATGTTGTTACCAACTTACAACGTAACTATATGTGACAAATTTGTTATGAATATATTCGTCACAAATATTGTGACATTTTTTGTTACGTTAAACATTTGTGACACACGTATTGCAACCATTGAAAATTAGTAACAAAACTGTAACAATGTTTATATTGTTACGAATTCTTTTCTATTGTGACGAAATATTTAGTGACAATATCTTTATTTTCTTGTAGTGACCACAACCACCCCAACAACGGCATCTTCCACCTCTCAATTTCACCGGAGAGTTTCCACCGTTACCGGCGGGATCTCCATCATCAAACCTTAATCGAAACCGCAACAATAAAAACGAGAAATATAAACCAACCCTTACAGCAACTATGGAGAAACAAAAGCCACCAAAGCAAGGCAAAGGACGCCTTCACTCCGTGGAAACAAAGCCGACAAAGATGGAGCTGTCGAAGCCTCCATCTCCCGGAATCTTAATCGGCGTCGATGGAGCTTTCGTAGCCTCCACCTCCCGTAACGAGAACACTTGGACACAGCAAAAGACTATCGCCGCGAGTCGTCCTCAGATCTCCTCACCACGAATCCAAGGAGAGGCGAGATGTCACCGTTGAACGTCCCAAGACGAATCATCGAAACTTCCCGGTACAAAACCCTAAACCAGATCCGCCGGTATATCGGAGAAAAAAGACATCACGAACCATCCACTTCGACGACTACAATTAAACAGAAGAAGGAAGGGCCACCGGCGCCGACACGCGCTCAGACGCGCAGCCGGACGCTGGGGCGGTTACTCTCGCGTTCTCTCTTTCTCTTTCTTTAGATGGCCAGGGTCTAAAAAACCCTTCGAAAAACTATTTGTATTTTATATAATGATCCTTATATTTGTCATAATTAATTCAAATTCATATTTTTTATAAATAACTATCACATGTATAAAAATATTATAGAAATATTATTTGATAAAATGTTACACTAAAATATAAAACTATAAATAGAAATATATAATTAAATATTAAAATACAAACAATATATTTTAAAATATTTTAAGGATTATCTTGATGTTTTTTAAAAAAAATTAAAAAAATATACAAATTTTAAATTTATAAAAATAATTTTGAATTATTTATGAAATAATAATTTTTAAAGATTAAAAGGATAAATAAAAAATATTTAAGATTATTATAAATATGATGTATAATTGTAAGGACCAAAATGCAAATAAAATATGAAACTTCAAATTTAAAGTTTTGAATAATGACACTATATTTGAAGTTTCACTACTCAAAACTTCAAATTTGAAGTTTTAGAATTCTTTTTTGGAGAGGCAAAAATTTCATATTTGAAGTTATAGCGTATCTTTTGGAGATGCTCTAACAGATTCGAAAATACAGCTAATCATCAACTAACTACATACGTATACTTACAGCTAATCCTAAGCTGAAAAACTGCAGCGAAAAAAATCTTGAAAGATATGGAATGTTCTAAAGTAAGAAATGAGAAAGTATACCTGATTTGACTGGAAAAGAGACATAGGCGATCGGATGGGGAGAACATGAGTAAGGCAAGATCAATATCACAAAGTGTTGACAACTCATAGGCCTTTTTTATTAAACCTTTTTTACGTTTTGAGTACGTAATTTGCCTGTTCGTACTCTTCTGTATCGGCTTTATCTCCAATTTGGCCCGACCCATATCCAATGATCACTGCAAATAATCAAAACTGTAATAATTGGTACGAGAGACTGAGATATGTGTGGAAAATAAAAAAAGTGTATATACAGATAATGAGCCGACGAGAAGTAGAGTTTTATGTTTGTGTTGTTGGGAGATATAAATGGAGAGCTACTAATAAGTGAGAGGAGTGTTGTTAGCTCTTCATTTGGACGAACCGGTGTAATATATATGACTAAGTACATATCATTTGCCCTCGTTCTATATAAAAGTCGTAAAAGATAACTTGGTCTTACTATAAAAGCAAGTGTTAAAATTCTAACCAATACCAAGAAAATACTTTATTATGCTTGTATTTTAACATCCATGGGTCTGTTTGGCACTTGCTCAAAAGCTCACGTACGTGGGTACGTGGGTGGGGATAAGTATTTGCATAGAGAAATAATAATAATAAATAATACGAGTACACAAAGGTATAAATATTTCATAGCCTGCCACATGTGGCATTGTATATGCGTTATAGACCACGCATGTTAGATAAAAGACCAAAGCCTGGTTATAGAAAAATAAATTAAAAAGAACCACCCAAGTGTACGTAGGTCATGAAGAAAAAGTATCAGCGATTAGCGAGTGAAACTATAAGCTCATTATAAACGCCTGTCGATGAAGGAGCTAGCTTCAACGGAAAGGAAAGGTGTAAATCAAATAATGTAAAAGTTGTGTTTTATTCACATGCTCTCCTGCGTATATATATTACAACCTTAACCGACTATATCATGGATAACTCCAACTCCTAAATTACATAATTATCAACTCTTCTAAGTATATCTCTAATACACTTGTCCTTATCCTCCTATACTCCCCCTCAAGTTGGGAAGGTGAAAGTTTCTCACTCCCAACTTGAACAACAATGTCTCAAACTGCACTCGGCCAAGAGCTTTGGTCAACACATCAGCTACTTGTTCATGAGTTCGAACATGAACAGTCTCGAGTACACCTTCTTGGATTGCATCTCTGACCTGATGACAGTCTGACTCGATGTGCTTTGTTCTTTCGTGGAATACCGGATTCGCTGCTATGTAGATCGCAGATTTACTATCACAAAATAACTTCGAAGGCTTAAGTTGTTTTGCTCCCAAATCACACAATAACTTCCTCAGCCATTTGATCTCACGAGTAGCTTGTGCCATGGATCTGTATTCCGCTTCTGCCGAGGAATGAGATACTACTTTCTGTTTCTTAGTCTTCCAAGACACTAGAGAACCTCCCACTAACGCCACATATGCGCTTAAAGACCTTCTAGTTATTGGACATGCCGACCAATCGGCATCACAAAACACAGACAAACTGAAATCGCGTTGTGAACTGATCAAAATACCTTGACCAGCCGTCCCCTTGAGATATCTTACTACTCGTAACGCAGCATCCCACTGCTCCTCCCTTGGTGCTTTCATGAATTGCGAGAGAATATGGACTGGATAAGATATGTCAGGTCTTGTAATGGACAAATAAATCAGACGCCCTACTAGCCTCCTATAACTCTCTGCATCTTTTAGAAACGGACTAGTGTCCAGACTGAGCTTGTGATGTTGCTCCATCGGAGTTGCACTTGGCTTTGAACCCAGCAACCCAGTGTCAGCTATAAGATCCAACGCATACTTCCGTTGGGTAAGCAAGAACCCTTCTTCACCTCTACCAACTTCTATGCCAAGAAAATACTTTAGTTTCCCTAGGTCCTTCATGTGGAAACAGTTACTCAAATAAGCTTTAAACTTCCCCAAAAATCTCATATCATTTCCACAAACAAGTAGATCGTCAACGTAAATCAGGACTCGAAGTTCAATCCCATCTTTAGAGTACACAAATAAGGAGTAATCCGCATATGACTGTTTAAAACCATATTTCTTCAAGGCGTTCGTAAGCTTAGAGAACCAACATCTAGGAGCTTGCTTCAATCCATAAACTGCTTTGTGTAATCTGCACACCTTATTAGGATCAGAATGTTGAAAGCCTTGTGGAAGTTTCATATACACCTCCTCCTTGAGCTCTCCATGCAAGAAAGCATTGTGAACATCCATCTGATGCACAATCCACCCTTTTCCTGCAACTATACGTAACAGACTTCTCACTGTAGTCATCTTCGCGACCGGTGCGAATGTTTCCTTGAAGTCTCTGCCCTTTAACTGCCTATTCCCCAATGCCACAAGACGAGACTTGGCTCTTTCCAATGTTCCATCTGAGTTATATTTAAACTTGTACACCCACATATTACCAATCGCTTTCTTCCCTGGTGGCAAATCCACAATGCTGAAAGTTTTATTTTCGTCAAAAGCAACCATCTCCTTCTTCATCGAATTTCTCCAAATCTCTTGTTGCACAGCCTCTTTGTAATTTCTAGGTTCTTTATCACTTGTTATGGCCGCCAAGAAAGCTTTGTGATCTGGAGAAAAACGTTCATCCGATATATAAAGCTCAAGAGGGTACGGAGTGTTACCTTGGACTGTCGACGAAGGCTCTGATTTGGGAGCAGTAGAATCGTGATGGGGTTTCTTTAAGTACTGAGCATTGTAGCTCACGTAATCTCGTAGTCTTACAGAAGGTAACTTTTCACGGTGACCTCTTCCCATCTCTGTTACAACTTCAGTCGCAGTCGTTGCAGGTTCGACTACTTCAACACTTTCATTGCTCTGTTTATCAACCGAAACAGAGTTCTCCACCGCAGGGGTAACAACCGCTGTTGCTTCTGACTTGTCGGTTTCTTGTAACACACTCCCCCTCTCTTCTATATCCAAAATCCAGTCATCGTCTGGTGATCCTGTGAACTTCGGTTGTTGCACCACGTCTTTACTTATACTGCTGTAAGGAAACTCATTTTCAAAGAAGCTCACGTCTCTGGATATCACGAACTCATTTTTGTCTAAGTCATAGACTCTCCATGCTTTCTTCCCGAAGGGGTAACCCACAAAAACACAGCGCCTGCTTCTTTCTCCAAGTTTGTCCTTATTTCGATCACGTCTGTGAACATAACAAAGCGATCCAAATACCCTCAAAGAACCATACGGCGGCTTAGCTCCAAACAGCTTTTCATACGGCGAACTCCCCTCCAATACTCTTGAAGGTGTCATATTGATGACATGTGTTGCAGTCGAAATAGCCTCTCCCCAAAATTTGATAGGCATTTTCGATTGAAACAGCAGTGCCCTTGCAACATTAAGAATGTGCCTATGCTTCCTTTCTACTCTGCCATTCTGCTGCGGAGTATCGACACAAGAGGTCTGATGCACAATTCCTTTTTCTTGAAAGAACTCTCTTAGACACGTGAACTCCGTGCCATTATCACTTCGTACCGTTTGAACTGAATTTCCAAACTGTGTTTCTGCGTACACACAGAACCTTTGTATCACTTTCTTCACCTCAGATTTTGCAAGCAAGAGGTAAGTCCAAACAGCTCTAGAAAAATCATCTACAACCGTAAGAAAATATGTAGCACCACACGAAGCAGGTACGCGATAAGGGCCCCAAACATCAACATGAATAATCTCAAAACTCCTTTTTGTTTTATTGATACTGTCACTAAAAACATCTCTAGTCTGCTTTGCTCTAAAACAAACGTCACACGGACTAGAGCAAGCATTATTCATAACACCGGAAAACTCTTGTAAAGAAGAAAAAACACCAAATGCTGGATGCCCGAGTCGTCGATGCCATAAAAGCCTATCATCACTGCTTCCGTCTGCTTTACTAGCTCGTGCCACTCTGACATCCTTAAAGAAATATACCCCATCACGTTCCTCACCGGCTCCAATCAGAGTCTTCGAAGAACGGTCCTGCAAAACACAAATTGTATCTGTGAATAACGCAAAACAATTACTGTGTTTCAGCAATTTCGATACAGATATCAAGGTACAGTCCAATTTGGGCACAAAGAGAACGTCTTTGAGTGATATACGATCCGTGAGTATCATATCACCCATATGAACCGATGTTGAGGTTCCACCATCTGCAAACCCGACGACACAAGGAAGAGTTTCTTTCACATTCACCAGCTGTCCTATGTCGCCTGTCATATGGTGAGACGCGCCAGAATCAATAATCACATTACCAAGACTCTTACCAGAAAGCTTATCTGACTGAGACGCTGCTTTCCCTTCATTTATAATTTGCGTAATGGCCTTCCACTGCTCCGGTGTGAGATCTGAACCACTACTCGCATATGAACTTGTTGCGTGTGCTGTGTGTGCACTACTGCGACCACCACCTCTCATACCAGTGCCACCACGTCCTCCTCTGACTGAACCTCTGCCTCTTCTTTCATTCATCCACTCTGGATAACCGATAATCTGCCAGCAATTGTTCTTTTCGTGTCCTGTCTTGCCACAGTTAGAACAAATCCGATCCCTTGCTCTGTTTCCATAACTAGAAGTACTGTTCTCAGGTTTTGATGCAGAGCCAGTAGTTTCTCTTACTTCTTTGGAATCTTTTTGACTTGATCCTTCTTGTCGAGCACTAAAACCAATAGCTTCTTGTGAAGTAACTTCTCTCGACTTAGCTGAGTTCAAACGTGCTTCTTCCCTGATCACCTTGGCATATACCTTACCCAAATCCGGCATCTCATCAGCTTCAATAATAGCTGTAACAACATTACCAAAACGAGATTCATCTAGACCCATGATGAATTGATGAACTCGTTCGTCTTCTCTCTCCTTCTCATACAACGAAGCTGCGTTGCAGGTACACGCAGGAGGAGGTCGATAGTTTTGTAGTTCCTCCCACATCACTGCCAAACGCCCGTAATAATCCATCACGGATTGTCCGTTTTGCCTACACGAGGCCAACTGCTCCATCAACTGATGAATTCGCACCTTGTTTCCTACCTCAAAGCGTTTCTTCAGATTCTCCCATAGCTTTTGTGCCTCTGTAATAAAGGTTACTGTAGACCTGACTTTTGGTTCAATGGAGGATCTGATCCAACCAACTATCATGGAGTTTACACTCAACCATGATTCCAAGTCACCGCTTTCTTCAGTCGGCTTAGGTAAGGTTCCGTCAACGAACCCTGATTTCTTCTTTGCTCGGAGAGCGTTCATCATCTCCAACGCCCATTCATTATAATTGTCACCTTTTAATTGAACGGACGTGATTAATGCTCCTGGGTTGTCGGAGCTAAACAACGAGTACGGCG